GTCGTATTGAAGAAATCGCTACATTCGTTGAATATTAGAGTATTCGAATGCTCTGCGAGGGCGCAGGCACTCCGGCCCCGTGGTTTCACCCCATTTTTCCCCAAGAATCAATTTTGTTTCAGATTTTTATGCCTCAACTTTTGGGTTACACTGTACCCTGACATATTTTGTAACCCAACAGAATAGAAGTTTTTGAATTTGGCAGAATTTCGTTCAAATCATTGGCGACGATAACTGGGTGGGCGTAGTGACGCTGCGCTTTCCCGCCACACCAGAACGTGGGGTCGCACCGGGGGGACTCGACCCCCCATATTAACTGGTGGTTCTGGTGACGCGCTTATACTCGTTAATCGAGTTCGTTGCTCACTGCTGCTACAGCATGTCTGATGCTCCTCCAGCTACATCTGCGGCTCCGGCCAAGAAGACTAAGGTTCGTTCTTTGGCTTGAACTCGCTCACATTTATTTATGACCCGTTTTATTTATCCCATTTTTTCAACGCTCACATTTTTAGGCAACCAAGCCCAAGGGTGAGAAGAAAGCCAAGACTGTTTCATCCCATCCCGTCTACTCCGCGATGATCAAGGCCGCCCTCAAGGACCTCAAGGACCGCAAAGGCTCCTCAAAACAGGCTATTCTCAAGTTCATGACCCAAAAGTACAAACTCGGAACCAACGATAAGCAGGTTGGTCCCCCCACGGAATTTTTTAGATTTTTCCTCTGCTAAATAGCTGAATGTTTCTAGATCAATGCCCATCTCCGTATGGCCCTCAAGAGAGGCGTTACCTCCGGTACCCTGACTCAGGCTAGCGGCAGTGGAGCAGCTGGACGATTCCGTTTGGCTGAGAAAGCCTCTGCCCCAGCCAACGGCAAAGTCACCCAAGCCAAAGGTCGCTAAGAAGCCCAAAGCCGCCGGAACACCCAAGAAGAAGGCCGCTGCCAAGCCCAAGAAGGCTGCCGGTGATAAGCCAAAGAAGGTGAGTTCATGATCCTCCAATTACTGTAGTATTAAAAGGGTTCACAGGTTGTGGAGAATGTTCAAGGGTTACTGTACCAACAACAAATTCTTTCAGGCTAAGTCAGCCAAGAAGCCGAAATCACCCAAGAAGGCCGCTGCTAAGCCCAAAAGCGCCAAATCGCCAAAGAAGCCAGCAGCAAAGAAAGCCACCAAGAAGCCCGCAGCCAAGAAAGCCGCTGCCCCTCAGGCCTAAGTTACAGTATTCTACCTCATTGATCTCGTGTGTATTTAATATGGACCCGTTGAGTGTTTAATACTTTAATTTGTCGCCTCGTTGATTACGGTTGAACCGCTACAGTCCCAAGGACTATCTAATAAACAATTCATAATAACAAATTGTTGGGTTACAATTCAAAAATACCTATCAGTTAAGGGCGATGGGCAGGTTAAGCGCAGTTTGGTTTGGTGGGGCACGAAATGCTGCTCACGGCTAGCGAAGCCAAGTCAGGCCAACTTGGTAAAACCTGTATTTCCTGTTAACAGAGCTACCCTTGTACCATTTCTTAGCTTCACAGGAGTTCACAAGTGTCACCAAAAGGTAACCTGTCAATTAACATGTCCTAGCAAAAACAACTAGTAAATGCAAAATGCCCCTCCCAAACCGCATAGCGTCGACAAGTTACGTTTGAATAAGTGGTCTACGGTTAGGAGTAAATCCCGCTATATCGTAACCCAAGTGAGCGAAATCCCACATATCACTGACTTTCGTTCAAGTCATCATAGACAGGTGGGTATGACTCTTGTTGGCTATGGATAAAAACTCTCGCTGGTTACCTTGGAGGGTGCATTTAAAGGACCTAATGTGCGAAATGAGTTACCGTAATCCTGATGAGAACTCTTGTCGGATGTAGAGGGAGGAAGCTCCAGGGTGGTGGAAACAACCTGAAGCACGCATTCAACGTTCTGTTCGGATGACGGTAAACTCTATATGCGCAAGATTCCTCCAAATGACCCCTCCGAAGCTACTAGCGCCAAAACTCGATAACTCTAATGGATATCAATCGATACCCGTAGAGGTCGTTTGACGCGACAGGACAACGTCGTGAGTTGCCTTGATAGCCAGTAATTGACTCGTTGAGCCAAGTTAGCCCGTAGTTCTCACGGGTAACCCAACAGGAGAACCATAAAAAAGATAAATTAGAAGAAAAAAACTGCCGCGACGGCGCTGACATCTAGATGGGGGGTACTACTTTCAGCGCCTTCTGTTCCTTACCCTAGTCGAGACTTTGGCTTAGGGAAGAAAATGTCTTTTCTGTGGGACTATCTCTCGGCCGCATTGGTCATCTGCGCCCTAACCATGAGCAAACTAAAGCTTTTTTTGGGGAAGATACAGAGGTGCGGTTATGTGGCCCCCCCCCCAATTACTGTAGCGCCAGAATGCATCGCCGTTGTCGAACAATTTGCTTTCAAGGCTAACCTGGTCCAGCCTCTGGCGCAGATTTCCTCCCAGCTGATCACCCAGAGTGGAATTCTCTTACGGGTAAAGGTGAATGCAAGAAGCTTGCTAATGGAGCGCTGGACCCTCAGCAGCACCTTTCCTGGTTACGCCACGTATTAGACTTAAAGGCAGTTGGCACGATAAATCCCCCAAGACGACTGGGATCAATACTCCATAGAATTCCGCGACCCTGGGCAGGCGCTGCATAGCGGTTTCCCCGAGGAAGGTGCCCTTATAAGGGCCCTATCAAGCCACAACTTTACGTCCCAAACGCCCGCCACCCGCCCGCCCACAAATGGACGACCGTTCCTG